AGAGCGGTCAGGTGAAGAGACAGGCATTCTCAACAGGAGAAGCTGGATGTTGGTTACGGTGTATCAATTTGTAACTACATAAAGTTTCTGCTAAATTGACTGTGCCAGATACACTAACTAAAGACAATTACATAAACAATGAAATGCACAGCATTAATTTATTCCTCAGCATCTACTACCTGTCTCACCAGGATGTGAACTGGATTCATCTCAAAAAGGACAGGTTCCAATACATCAGATTTTCAGATCAGTATAAATATGTTTCGGGCACTGACAGATTTATGGTGAATTCCGCTGCCTATTTTACTCCATATTATACTGTCTAATATGTTGTGCTGCAGTATGACAGTTACTGCAACTTATAATTTAAACACTTACCTGAATGACGGAGAGCAACGATGCATGTTGTGACGTCATCTGACCCAAGAATATTTACATTTTCTGTAAAGGAGAAAAGTTTAATTTGTATGCACAATCAAGTTTTCAAAATACTGACTGAACAAAGAATAGACCATGAACAATGGAAAAAATACATGTAATCAAACCTATGAGAGAACCACCAAAGAAATTGATCACAAACAAGTTAGGAAATATATACACAACATAACAATTCTGATGACTATAATTTTACCTTTGGCCATTGTGAATGGATGAGGAATTCCACATCCACTCACTACCATGTGCAAAGTGCCTGTTAATATTGTCCGAAACAAGCAACAATTGAAAGGTGCTGACAAATTTTAAGACAATTTCCCAATATTTCATTTTGGACAAATCTGTTCAGCAGTTCGTGAACATTAATTGTGGACAGGCAGACAGAAAAATATGGTCTAACTTAAACAATGCATTTCAGTAAGTTTTAGTAGTAAACACACCAATAAATTACAAAAACAAAAGAAGTTCTTTGTGAATTTACATCTATGAGAAGTTAACTAATTAAGTCTTAAAATAGACCATAACATCCTCTATCATTCAAAGTCACAACATCCTTCAAGAATCATATGTCATACTATGGCTGAAGAAACATTTGAATGACTTCAGTCAGATATTAACAGGACTAAAATAAAAGAAAACATTACTTTCCACCAAAACATCCATATTTGAGGTGTAAGGAAGAATAGCCAGTTAATAAAAGCCACCATTAACGTAACCAAGTCTACGTATTCACACTTGGCTCCAAATAATACAATCTTACTAAGAAGCATACGGGTGTTGTGACATAGTCAGGCTAACATAAACTCAGAGACACATGAATATATATCCTACAATTTGTTGCACATTTCAAATTGAATTTTATAATGTCTACTTGTACCCATTCTGTTTCTTGATTCTCACAAACTGCCTATCCTTTTCAAGCATAAAAGTTATGAGGATTCTTACAATGCACACTTAAATGCCTGATACATACTGTCATGGGGTACAGTAACTGCCAATTCCCTTTGCTGGACATAGAGGAGGCCAACAGATCCTACCACCTTTGTAGGAATAGCAAGCAGTTGTGATGCCGAGTCCTTATAAAATGGTTGATTGTGAAATAAGGTCCGCGTGTTGGGAGGCACCTCCTCCTGTAGCACGCCACTCAGCACTAGAACCATTCTACCTGCAACATGGAAAAGAAAATGACTACAGTTCATGTTCCTGAAATGCCCATAACATATAACAGGGAGTGAAAAAGCATTGCTAGTATGTAACTGAATTTAATTATCACGTGGGCAATAAGAGGAATTAAGTTAACAAGCTGGGTGACAGTCAAATAATTTAATGATGAAATCTGTTTGATTCTACATGAGCAACTTTCAGTGTTCGACAAATTATAACATTATATTATGCAACAGCTTTACTGAGAGCCACTGAATGATGCAGTCAATCAGCTAGTACTTCTGCTCTATATTCATGATAACCCCAAGTTTAAATCTCAGCCAGAGGCAGGCTATCCTGACAGAGGTGCTTCATAATTTTCCTCAGTCTCTCCAGGTCAATGTCATCTGACAGTATATAATCTGAACAACTGAAAGCATCATTAAATAAACCATGAATGAAGAAGTTGAATACTGCATGCCAGAACACACTTGACTGGAACAATATTCAATGTAACAAAAACTCAGATTTTTCGTATTATCTACATGAAGTTCAATCTCAGTGTACGAAGAAAATAATCTGACATATAACTAAGAGGAATATTCATGACAGTGAAGTTATTGGCATGTATAAATATGTGCCTTGTATGAAGTTAAGACTAATTTCTCAAGCTTCAACAATCTGTGCAGATCCTGTCAACTATTTTCAATGGCATGTGCATGCATAAGAAAACACCACAACATGGATATGGTTTCACAAAATCTTTTACTTGAATTGCTATGCTATTATGCTATCACAGGAAAACAACTTTAAAAGTTAGGATAATTGAAAAGATAACATAAATATAAATTTGGTACATATTTTCATGGTTTTATGTTTCAACCAACATTGACTATGGCCTATAATTAATTCTTCTAGGGCTACCAGCCATGTAGGGTAGTTTACTGGAGTAAACACCGACATTTTGAGAGTACAGAGCACCATGAGGAGGGGGAGAATGGATGAACCTTAAAAGGAACAGCTTTTGTACAATAACTGCAATATCGACCTTAACCATGAGTGCCGCTTAAATCACTGTTACATTTGTAGTCTGATTGATACGCTACAAGAACATTGGATGATGGAGAGCTGCTTCATTCACTCTTGTGAAAAGCACTAAATATTTTCATGCTTTTATGAATCATTCACTTACAGAGGCAATAATGTTGTAAAAGAAAGTTCTGCCACTATCATGGTTCTCTTTTCTAAATCCAAATACATCAATAAAGAATTTCCTTACATTTCTCCTTAAAATCTTCCTGGACTTCTCCATTAGGTACTTTTGGCAGCATCATAGGACATGTCACATAGCCCTCCTCTTCCAAAACGATGAGTCCTTCCTGAGAAGTCAACATTTTCCCAGTCACTCAAGAAATTGCAAACATTTTATAGAACCTGAAGGTTCATTACCATGTTCACAAGGGCCTGCCACTGGTCCCAATCTTGAGCCAGATGAATCCAGTCCATGCCATTCCATTCTCGTCTAGATCTTCTGGTTGTCTCTTTCCATTTGGTTTGCCTACCAAAACCCCGTGTGTCTTTTAAATTGGGGCTACATGCCCTGCCCATTTCTTCTCCTTGTGGAACTTTCTCCAGCCTCCTAGCATTTCATCCCATTTGGGTCCAAATATTCTCCTCAGCCACTGTTCTCAAACACCCTCAGTCCACGTTCCTCCCTTAGTGTTATAGATCAACCTTCAAACCCATAAAAAACTATGGGCAAAATCAAGGTTTTGAATACTGTTAATTGTACTATTTTAGATAGAGAAAAAGGTTCTGAACTGAAAGGAATCTACCTTTAGGTTATGTTATGGTCCGACCGCAAATTCGCACTACCTCGGCTGGAAACGGAACTACGATCCAAGATGGCTTCCTGCAGAGCGGCCAACTTCGCAAAATCAAATCACCGATAAACCGTGAAGGCTGTAATATTGTTCAACAGATGGCGTATCTATTTAGCTTTCAGGTAGCTGTAGTGGACGTATTTGCACGCAGTGTAGTAGTACTTAAATTGATTGATAGGTGTGTCAGTGTGTTTCCACTAATAGTTGAGTCTAGAATTAATTTTATGGAACTCCTAATTGCCAGTGTACTATGGGGAAGGGGGGGGGGCAGAAATCTATTGATATGTTTTTGAACGTTAAGTACTTTTTTTTTCAATTTTATGGATTTACCAGTGCCCTAGAAATCTTGGAGGTGGAAACCGATTGATATTTTTGCGAATTTTGAGAGTGCTTAATGAATATTTGAGGAGCCATTTTCGTTACTTTGTGAAAATCTTACGCACAATAAAATGGAGGATTTGAATATCTCTAGTAAAATTATTGTCTCAGGAATACAGAGTTTGAAAATCTGTACACCCCCCACGAGGTCATTCGGTTTAGGAATCCAATCTGCAGTGACTACATTGATATCACAGCTTTAGGTTAAATAGCACAGGCCATTAATGCGCTGGTATACTGACAAGTGTCCTGAGTACACACACCAGAATTCATTTACTGGAGTGTAAATTACATCTCGTGGGATGTGTTTTTATCGCAAATTTGTCGTCTTCAAGAACAGATGTCTGCAGTACAAAGCAAAACCATTCCTATGCAAGGTTTCTCTTAGGGCGGAGTTTCGTCGACTTTTTTTCAGTGCACAAGACAACCAACCTTCTCGTTCCTTTAAATTTAGACTTTGTGATGGTCATTATTCACACCCTCATCAGCAATAAAAGAATGGGAGAGAGAAATAAGTAAATATTAACGAACAAGTCTTGTAGGAGCTGTGACGGACAGCTAATTCAGTAGTTTATTTTATGATACTGTGCCAACTGTTGGTGTTATTGTCGTGTTATTATTAATGATGGAAATGAGATATATATGTACTTACTGAAACATGACAATAGTTTACCAATATTAATACATTTAAAGTATGCTTAAGTTAAGAAAAGAGATCAGTCTGGAAAATCTATGTAATGTGTTTGGCAACAAACAAGTTCATATTTTCCCTTCCCACTGAATGCATGGTTTATTCCAAGCTCGCTCGCGTAATTGTTAGGAACACGTACATTATCAGATGTTACGCTGGTACATTAACAAGACCTTCCAGCCCCACCGCTCAACGAAGGCTTCTTACCTTCTGCACGTTCACGTTAAGTAAATGTTATTTTCCTGAGTAAGTAGCTCAGTCATGCAAACGCCCGTCTGTGCTAGTTATTACGCGTTCTTTGCGCAAAGTTCGTGTCTCCGTCCGTCTAATCCATTCAACTCGAGAAGGACATATTTCGATAAAATTTTACATGGCGTTTGTGCCATCCTGCACGGTCTCAGAATTGTACTTTTTGGATATCCTACAAGCGATGAAAATAAATGACGTATGAGGAAGTTCGTGAGGTGATGCGATCTGGTGGCCATAGTGAGCACCACATCGCAGCACCGTAGTTCGTACCTCTAAAAGCACGCTGTAAGGAAAGCGTGAGGAAATTATGTTTATTCCGTTACGAAATACAGATCCTCCCGGACTTACGCTATCATTCCGTTCTGGAAGGTATTGTGAAACCCGAATTTTGTGTAAATCGAAATAGCTGCTGTAATATACGTAGGTACGTATGTATACGCGTTTTTACATGTCTCTGCTTTGTAGAAAAGAAATGAAAACATGAAGATGAAGCTAGCGCGGAGAAACGCCTTAGTAAGGATAGGAAACGTTTATAAAAACAAAATTTCGTTTACATTTTAATCATATTCTGGCAGCGCACGACAAAACACTTAATTTTAAGATGCAGAAAATTGTGTTTTATGCTATATGGGACGGTTTGTGTAAGCCGGGTCTTCCGAAACCGTGGGAGCGTCTATATAATTTCCGAGCATATTATTAAAATGTGACGGACACAAACAATTCTTATCCTGTAGATTATGACTCAGTCCAGTCACTGTTTGAAGTCACCAACAATCCAGAAGCAATTAATCCATTTTTCTTTATACTTTGAATACAGAGACGTCATAACACATTCAACCAATGTTCTCTTTTCACATGTATTATATCTAATACAAAACGAAACGATATGAACGTGTAAGTACGGAAACACATCGTCTGAAGATGGCAGTACAACACACTGCCGAAACGTAATTCATGGTCAAATCCTTCACTTCATGTCTTTCCTACGCTTGTGTGTCTCAGCTGTACCAACTGCACATTTTTTAATTTTATCTGCCGACCACTATTCTCGTTCCCTGTCCAAACCAGCTTTTGTATCTTGGTCTAGCCATTGTGCTTATGGTCTCCCCTGGGACTCCTTAAACAAGTCATTTTTACTAATCTTGCTTTGGTTCATTCTCTGTTCATACATTGTTTTAGCACGTCCATTCCGACAAAGTTTACCTTTTCTACATTTGACTCGGCAACTCACAGCTGAGAAAGAGACTTTTTCCAGAATAATAGTGTTAAACGCTCATGTGTCTTGGGCGAGTCACAGAACAATCAAAGCAAAACCTAAGTCTCTAGTAGGGATCTAACAAAAGAAATCACAGAGCTCTGAGCTCTATCGTTACAGACTTTATCATGTTCTGAAACAAACTTTCAAGTATTACTTGTCTGTCTTTACGAGGGAAATATAATTTACCGCCAGTTAATGATTACGTTAGCCAAGACCTCAGTATGCTCTCTACTGTGACCCCCTCAGGGGACAGGGTTTTGGCTCAAGAAGTGATATGTTTCCACGGAGCAAGATTAGAAGCTCCGTGTTGCCTATGTTGCACTGATTTTAACCTGTGGAGCACCCCTTCCCCGATGTAGAGGCGTGCAAACGTTCCAAAGGGGTTGTTCGTGAAGAATTTTGGACCAAAATAAGTTTGTCCCTTTGAACCCTGAAAGATGTTCGAAAATTTCTCAATTTGCTATTTCGTCTGGATTCTTAACTAGCGAGGAATCTTCAGAGACTGCTTAAAACAAGAGTGGAGGACAATCAAGGTCCCCCAAAATGTGTGAGCCATGCCTCATGGCTCGAAGTGGCTTATCTTCCCTCTCCGTGTTCTTTGGAGTCGGAGGCTTCGAACCCCTGATCAGACGATCGTGGCCTCAGTAACATAATCTGGCAGTCCCCTTTTCAGGGGGGGTTCATGTGGTTTGATCAAAATCATTCAATTGGCCTCCGAATTATGAGATGAAACACCATATAAATAGCTTTTTTAATTATTTGGAAAATTGTAAAAGTTGGAGAAAGTTTAAAGGGCATGAATGATCAATTTGTTTTACAAAAGTTTTGATCCAAAAGTTATGCAAATTTGTTCATATTAGATTTTAATCAGATCTGGTGTTTGTCGACGAATTTTAGTTAATATCCGCAATAAGCCTATCAGATTTTATGCAAATTATTTTAGGATTTTCGAGTTGCAACTTAATGCGTGGTCAGATATGGCGAAACTAATTGTTGAATTTTATGCAACTTCTAGTGAGTTAATTCAGAGCGAATTTCATTTGGCGCTGACTGCTTTATGTCAGCCTGCAGCGTGTTGGGACTAGTTTTCAACTTTTGCTCTTTACTCAAATTCTGAAACAACGCGTTGCAAACTCTGTTTCAAATACTGTACAACGATAATAACATTATTACGTCACTGTAGAAATTTTAACACGTAAAACTGTAATTTATTTGTGTCTTCTGCTCTTTTTCAGGTGAGTGTCTTGAATGTCTGCTGATCAGAGTGATTTCAAACTCCTAGGTGGGTGAGTTATATTTAATTACTTGACGCAGATATGAAACCATGACAACGGGAATTAATTCTTATCACTTTTTCACTGTACATTTGACGCTGGGACATTATATTAAACAGTACAGCTGACAGGATTGTAATCCTTAAGACTTACCACTCTCGCAAATGCCAACGTGTCCTACATCAGTTTATATGCACAATTAAAGTTATGTATATTAATCCTTGAAGTATGTAGGTATATCTGCTTTAAAAATCAATAAAAATGCTTTGATCTGAAGCTTTCACGGCGACTGAGTATATAATGAGTTTTTCTTGGGCTACCAGCCGTGTCAGGTGGTTGGATGGAGAAAACACTAGAGTTTCGAGAAGCATCTTCGTCCTCGTTCTCAGGGTACTGAAGTTCAACTCTGAAATCTATCAAACATTCTGTACAAGGGCACGGGTTTTCCTCTTTTCCTGGGGTAAAGACGCCGGATCTTGAAACTTGTCACTCACGTATGTCAAGTCTTATTAACCACATTTTTTAATTCTTTATGGCCCAAAAGGAACATCGTTTAATTTTCAGAATCGGGTCGGAATTTTTTTTTTAAACAGGATCTCGGAAATGCGAAGTAGCAATTTTGCTGTCTCCAATACACAGAAATTTTTCGACCCGTAATTTGTAGGACTTTTAAATATTTATCTGAAATTTCGTAACGTCAGTGGAAGGAAATATTTACGTTGCCTGGAAACAGATAAGCCCGGGTATTTTAAGAACAATAACTGAAGCTGCAAGGTGACTCAATATAATTTCTGATGACCCATTTCATGCAAGAGAATTGCATATAATAATTTATCACAGCAAAAACCACTCATGAAATTTGTGTGCGACAGATCACCTGTCTACCACATCCGTCACCTTTCGTCCCACTGTCATCCTCTGGTTTTTTCCCGTACGACACAGGGGACACTGATTAATATCAGTCGATATATGTATGAATCATTTTTAACAGTAAAGTTGGGCCATAAAACCAGAAATTAATGGACATTTAGTTTCAGATAAAATTTTTTATCAGTCGTTACATTTGAGTAAAATACTCGAATATTCAGGCCCAAGCATTATTACCACTACTGATGACGATGATAATACTATACAGAATGTCCGGTGATTTTATGTCTGTACTTTAACATCTTATTTTTAAAGTCAGTCCC